AATCCCTCTCTCTCTCTCTCTTTCTCTCTCTAGAAACTCACTCTTTTCTCTTTGGGTGTTGTAGATCCCTAACTAATACTTTGTAATTACTTGTCTAGATTGAATGATTGTCATTGGGTATTGGTTAATTCAATGTTTGAGGCATTATTCATCATGATTGTGTATGCTTGTGCTTAGCAACTTAGGGGTTGTGCATGTTTTGTGCTTAGCATCCTAGGAATTGCAAAATTGTGCTTAGCACCGCTAAATTTGTGCATTTAGGTGCTAGTAATCTAATTTGCCACCTTAGCCTAGTTTAGAGAGGAAAATCCCCCTATCAAGGGAGACTCAATCGAGTTGGTTTTCCTTCCGCTTTCTAAGCCACCTAAACTAGGTTGACCCTCAATATTGAATTAAACAAGTCGATTAATCGTAGTTAAATCATTCGACCTTCGAGTTGAGTGAGGAAGTAAGCCAATTACCGATTGTCTAAACCGAGCGGGTCGAGTGACATTGCCTTTCATCCTCACCTCGGTTTAGCAATTGAGACTGTGGTCTTCGACCACATACGCTTTCCTCTGCGGTTCACAATTAACGTGCCCAAGGCAATCGTTCCAATCCAACGAGTCTTGGTAGCTAGTTAGGGGGAAGCAACTCCTGGGTGAAGCTCTCTTAGTTAGAATTTTCCTTTATTTACTTTTCTTTGCTTGGTTAGTTGTAGTTTCAATAAACCTAAACCCTAAAGTTGCTTGCTAGGTAACTACCTAAGCGATTGAAGTAGGGTTACATGGATCGGCCCGGGTTGACAATTTAAATACTTGCTCTATACTGCACCCGGCTAGAGTTTAAAAACTTGGGCTCTAGTCGGAACTAATTTGTGGTGTAGTTTCATGCGAGTCATATAGTGTAGGACATGATGGTGGGAGTGGGCAAGTTTTGCTATCAGACCGATTTCGTGATTCTCGACACAAGTGAGGACTCGGATATGCCACTCATCCTCGGTCGTCCCTTTCTTGCCACCGCCAAGGCATTGATAGACGTTAATGAGGGGAACTTAATTCCGAGGGATGGTAATGAAAGAATCAAGCTTGAAATTGACCCTAAGGTTAGGAGGGATGAAGTGAAGGGAGTGTTTTCAAATGATGTGAATGAGAGTGGAGGAGATCCTCTCAAGGCAAACCCCACCATTACTTGTGTTGCTTTTGGTGATGTTGAGAAGGAAGTTAAGAAGGGTTCTATGCCCAAGGGATCGAGGATGAATTCTTGGAGGCGAAGGATGAAGGGAGCTTTGGCCCGGAAGATGGGGGAGGGCGAAGCAACGTTGGCCAATCAAGAGGGCCAACTCAAAGAGCCTAAGATGGGAGGCTACAATCCTCGTCCCGAGAGTGTGGTGGATCCGCTCTCGGTGGTATCACGTTCAAAGTCGTGATTGATCCCCAACCATCAAGCTAATGACGCTAAATTAGCGCTTGTTGGGAGGCAACCCAACGGAGGTTTGTTTTCTTTTCCTCATTTTCGTTTTGGTGTCAAGTGAAGAGTTCAAGTGGTGTCCCCGTGCCAAGTTTAGTGGTTTTGCGATTTACGGTTGTGTTGTGATCGATTAAGAGGCACGATGGAATAGGTTGAGTCAATTTTTTCTCAGAAGTGTCTTGTTTTCTCTGATGTCCACGGACGGATTGCGGTGTTCCCGTTCTTACAAGACCGTGAACAGGCAAACGCGTCCGTGAATTGGACGCTTCTGTATGTTCACCATCTGTCGACCGACCCCAGTTCACGAACACATTTGAGTGTTCACGGTCGCTAAGACCGTGAACAAGGCAACGCATCCGTGAACTCCAAGCTGTGCCTATAAAAGGGGCGTGAACGACGACTCTTCACTTCACGACCAAATCTCGCCGGAAAAACGCGAAACTCCATCGGTTTTTCGATTTTCCCCCCATTTCTGGTGAGCAAAAACCAAAACAAACGTCATACCCATTCTCCCCTCATCAAAACCGGCCTGTACTGAAATTTTGGGGAGATTTGGGGCAACTTTTGTCCGGTCAAGTCGCCGGCGGCGAGTCTCCGACGAAGCTCCGGCGATCCCTCTCCGGTCTGGTTTTCGGTCGTTTTTTGCATTCCTCGCCCGCACCTCACTTCCTCCTACGTCATACTTGCATCTCCAGGTTGGTTTTTCAGCTTTACCTTATCAATTTGTGGAGAATCGAATTAGGTAGTGAAGTGAGGATAATTTGTGTGCTTTGAATGTTGAACCTAGATTTAGGGCAAGGAATTAGGTGAATTAGATCTATTGAATGATGGAGTGTTTTTTGCATGAGCTTAGTTGAGCCTTGGTGGGCGTGTTTGATCCGAATTGCCTTTATTTTTAGAATTTTCCCACCAAGTGCTATGTTATGAATACAAGTGGAGTTTATGCTTGTTTGGTGGATGGTAGCCACCGTGGTTTGGGTTGTGGTTCAACTTTTTGTGTGCTTGAACCGTGAATTATCCACAACCATGCCAAGATGAGCTTGAGCTTAAATGTTTGATATTCATGGTGGAAAAATAAGTGTGGGGGGGGGTCTCTTTTCCTCCCAATGAGCATTATTTTATGAATGTTTTCACGTATGGTGTATGTTTCTCAGTTTGTGCAGGATGGTTAACATGGACCACCCATTCCTAGTGGCGCTAAGGGGCAGCCCTGAAATGGAAAGAGGCGTGTTTTTGGGCATCCACGAGAGTCGATAACCATTGGAAACTCGACTTTGCCCAGTTCGACAGGCTTCATTGCAGTTATGAGGGAGGCAGTGGTGCACCCACAATGGCGCCAATTCCTTGATCTTGAAGATGACATTTACGGGGAACTATGCGTCGAGTTCTTCATCACTTTCACCATACGCAAGAGCCTTTGCCTACTCGGTCATCCAGTATGTCGGGTCGAGTTCCGATTGGGAGGGGAACTTCTCAATTTGAGCTATGACGAGATAGCAGAGCCCTCGGAGTGGAAGCCAAACATGAGGACGATTGAGAGGAAGATGCCATCCGAAGCTTCGACGTGAATGCCGCATTTGTGAAGTTTTGTCTTCCAAAGTACCGAAGGACAAAGTTTAAGTCGGCACTCACAACGTCATCCACACTCCAGCCCTAGTGGCGTGTCATCGTTGCACTTCTGGCTCGTTCCCTCTACCCGGCTTATCACAACCCGAACAAGATAACTGAGAGAATCTTATTGGCTTGTTCTTGCATGGTGGACCTGTCTAGCACCCTACACCTAGATTCAGTCATAGCCACTTATTTTTCTAGGGCCAATGGGGAAAACCGTTGTTATGTCACATTAATGGGTCCCTACATCACCCGTCTTGCTTGACACTTCAATGTCAGCCTGCAGGGTGCCCGAAAGAAGGGCGCACCCAGAGATTTGATGAGGGCACTCTGCAATCCATGCGCTTATTGCACAACTTTGGCCCAATGCGTTACAATGAGGGATTGAGTCTTGACCCCGAGTTTCTTCCACCAGCAGAGCAGCCACCTGCTCGTGCACCCAGCCGCCGCCGGCGTCCAGCGCTCCAGCGCCTAGCACAGCCACCACCACGACCAGCAGGTGATCCCCTCGTCCAGAGGGTGGATCGCCTAGAGACGAACTTCGTGGGATTCTCTTCCCGCCTCGACCGACAGACTGATCTGCTCGAGCTGACGGCTCGACGCTAGGGCGTCCTCCCAGATGAGGCCGCGGGTCCTTCCACTAGAGAGAGGTAGCAGACAAGTGAGACATGTGGTCGAGCCAATTTCTTTCACCCCACTTCTCCACTTGTAACCCTTAACTTGTTGCTTTTTTTAGTTTTCTTTCTTTTGTGTGTGTGTGACCATAAACTACTACTACTACTACTACTATCGTATTGTGTTTGTAATAACCTCACCTCGAGCGAATCGTATTGTGCTTGTGTGTGTGTTTTTTGTCTCTCCTTGATGCTCAAAATATCCTACCCGGATTCGTCCAACTTTCACTCACCAAGCCCAAGCGGTAACATCATTCTACCCCTTTCTTACACCATTGAGGGCAATGTCGAGTTTAAGTGTGTTGGGGGGGGGGGGGGGGTAGTTTACTATTATTCTTGTGTGAGTGTGATGGATGCTTGGAGCCTTGATATATGCCCAAATTTCAAAAATTTGAGGGCTCCAAGCAATGTTTGCATGATCAAAGTGGTCGGTGTATGGGAAATTCTCGTGTTTATTTGCATTGATCTTTAATTGTTGCATGTGATCGAGTATATCCTATGATGATAACTGAGAGGTTCATTATGATAGTGCAAAAGTTTAGTTCTCATGTGTGCATAAATAAATGGATGTCTTGACCCGATTACTTTTTTATTACAATTGTCATGCATTGTGTTTGTGAATTGGAATAGATGGTTAGGTGACTAGGTAGCCATGTGATGCTACATCCCAGTCAAACTAATCCCAGTCGAATACAAATGTCTGACCTCGATATCTATCCAACAATTCTAATTTCGGGGACGAAATTTTTATAAGGGTGGAGGAAATGTAACACCCCGACATTTAAGTTCATGTTCGATCATGATAAATGAACGATTGGATAGAGGGTTACGTATAAAGGACTGCGGATTAGGAATAGTAATAACAATTATAATTATTTTTTTTTGGTAGAACAATTATAATTATTACTATTATTAATAGTAAAACAAAACAAAAACAAAAAAAAGGAAAACCACCCCACCCCACGTCAACCCAACTCCCAAATAATTCCCACCTCCCATCTGTATACAATTCCATCTCTTCCACTCTTTATTACCCCCAATTAATCCCCACCCTCCCAATGGAGAGCCAATGGGAAACACCACCTCCAACTTAGCGCATCACACTATTTCATCAGCAGAAAAAGATAATGTTTGTTATGTCTCTTTCACAAAACAAGTATGAGTTGGCATAATAAAGAAGCATACAGTACTAGCAGCTGTAGAGAAGTGTCGGTGCAAGCTTAAATAAACTCCCCCTTCCATGGAATGATACCATTTATCCACCCGGCCGTACACCACCATTATCGGTTCATCCATCTCCCTATTACCACTACTGCTTCCCCAGCCCACCTTCTCGACCATCATCATCATCACCATCAACCTTCCATCCATCAAAACAACACGACCGCCAAAAACTTCTCACTGTCGCCATCTTTGTTGTCGCTGGAACAGAGCCACACCGTCAGCACTCATCCTTCATCGCCATTAACTTTGTCCATCCTTTCCTTGCCACACGAAGTTTCCCGTCGCTATCATCGTCGATCAGATAGCTACCACGATACTAGCAACAGTTTCCATCGAGAGTCTCTTCCTCTGTCTCTCGAACCATAGGTAAGAACAATGGAATCACAACCTTTATTAACCTTCAAAGCTCCGTAGGTACTAACCATGGATGTCTTTCACCGTAGCTTTGACGAGGAAGACGTGGGGTCATCCAATGTCGACCTAAACAAGGAACAAAGGACATACATCTTTGTATCAACGTCTAGGCACGAATACAAGGTAAGGAAACCACGATCCTCGCATTCGAAACTGATTACGTATGAGTTTGTACGAGTTATAGTTTTTCTGGAAAATTGGTGACGAAAATTACAACCTTTTAGTGACAGAATAGATTGGGTCGCTAAAGATTGCTGGGCTATTGTCCAGATCAGTCCCCCATGAATTCAGTACATACAGCTTAGTCCCTGAGAGTTTTAAGTTTTGATAATTTGGCCCGAAAATCGTATTTTATTTCATGGTTATGTTTATTTCCGACACTTTCCAGTGGGTATTTTCATAATATAATAATTTTATAAATTTGAGAATATTTGTATGATGCTCGTGTATCAATTTTAGAATTTTTGGATCTGTATTTGTATTTATAAAAATTAAACGAATGTTGGTTTTAATTAATTAAAATACTGTACAAAGTCGTTTTGGTGATTAGATAATTTTCCATGAAACTATGATTGTTTACTGATGTTATAAAATTATGGATGGGAATTATTAGTTTTAATGTCTTGGTTTAAAAATTGTATATAATTCATTTTAATAGGAAAAAGAGGTTATTTAAAAGGGCGCTTATGTCTATTAATTGAGATTAATGATTTGAGTTAACCAAGGTCATAATTTGGAGTCTTAAGTGGAAAATATATTTTGAGGAATTTATGAGAACTATTTTAAAAGTTATTGAATTGTTGAGATGATTTAATTCTTGATTAAAGGGTTGAAAAGTTTAGTTTTAAGGAATTGATTTAAAAGAGATTTAGGGCCATTTTTTTAAAGGATTTTGGGACTAAGTGATCAATGAGGGAAATTTTTCCAATACGTTAAAGAGACTAAATATGAGGATTACCGACTAAGGGAAGATGATTTCAGTTTATAGGATTAAAGAAGCAATCGGGTTAAGAGACTCCACGTCCAAGGAATTAAAGTATCGGCAATTGAGAGGTGAGTGTAAAGGGGGTAAAATCTACGCCTTACATATTACGTTTGAGATTTGCTGCTATGTGATATATATGCTTATGTATGTTTGCGTGATGCATGATATTACGTGTAAGTTATGTTTTCAGTCATACAGTTGATGACATGTATTTAATTACTAGTAAGTTACTTTTAAGGAGTATTACACCTTCAAGGAAGGTGTAAAGTTTTAAGAGTTTTGAGTCGCTAGCGCCAGTCCGTTGCCCATATGAGATTTTGAGATGAGCAGCAGTTATGCTCTTGAGACTTTTAAGATGAGCAGCAATTATGCTCTTGAGAATCATGGTGAAGAGCCACCATGATAAGTATAAGATGTTAGGGGAATGATCGTTATGACTCCCCTAACTAAGTTTAAGTTCAAGTAAGCCTGGATGGGCTCTCATACGTATGAGATGGGCAACCGGACTAGCTAGTGGGGGATCCCAGTGTCGGTTAAAGTTTTAAAGTTTTGAGAGTGGGGTTAAGAGTAAATCCCACGTTTTAAGAGTTAAAGTTTAAAGGGCGAAAGTATAATCAACTTCCACTAATTTATTGTTTGAGGGACACTTAAGGTAATAATCCGTAAGTGTTTCAAGTTTAAGTAATGGCGTAGACTGACCCCAACTCACTCACCAGATCGTAGAGGAGGAGATCAAGATCAGATAGTTCGTGGACAACAGGTTAGAGGGGCTCAACATCAGCGTCGTTAAAGCATGGCGGACCAAGCATCAGAGTAAGCGTTGGGGAAAACTTTTAAGTTATTTGGACTTTGTGGTTGAAAGTTAAGAACTGGAGATTCTGGTCGTTTGTTTCTTTTAAAAATATGATTTGGAGTTTTGCCCACATGTTTAGGGCTTGTCATTGAGATTTCAAATTATTAAAGTTTGGTGTATTTATTTTAAGTGTGTTTATGAATAATTTTTAAATATACCCCGGGGTAGAAATGTCTTTTACATGTCTCAAAAAGGTGGGACGTAACATTTTGGTATCAGAGCCGGTCTTCCTCTATTTCTTGGTTCCTGAGAAATACTGGAATAACGGTCTTAGTTTTAAAAAAATTTTGTTTAAAGAAAGGAAAGTGAGTTTTAAGTTAAAGGTTTGGCCAAACGAGTCAAGAATTTTCTTTTAAGAGTCAATAGAATCTCCAGTCTACTCTCAACCATGTTAAGAAAGAAATAACTGAGTTCTAACGAAATCGTATGAATCTACAGAGCAAGTGTTGGCCAGAATCCCGCCCCGGTTGTGCCACCACAAGTGAGACCTCCACCGGATTACATAGCTTTCCGGAAGAGAAAGGTGGAAGATTTTAAGGGGGACCGTTCAACAGACCCCATGGAGGTTGAGCAGTGGCTAGCTAAGGTCACCCGTACCCTGGTCGAAATGAGGGCTGATGACGAGGACAGGGTACTGCTGACAGTATCTTTGCTACAAGACACTGCTTACAACTGGTGGGCAAACCAGCCAGCTAGTCAAGAGGATCCACCGGCCATCACTTGGCTAGGGTTCGTGCAGTTGTTCAAAGACCACTTCATACCTGAGGCTTACCGGATCGGGAAGCAGAGGGAATTTCTGCTCATAAGGCAGAGGTGGGGCAAGGAAGGAAGAGAAAGTGTGGCTGACTACACGGCGAGATTTGACAAACTGCTTGTCTATGGAGGACCTCAATTTCAGGATGCACATGCACAACGCATCCACTACCTGGAAAGCCTGAAGCCTCCTTTTAGGCGTCAATTGAGTATGCTGAATTGGAACAACAGAGAGGAGATCTATCAAGCAGCTCTCCGATTGGAGAGGGCAGATACAGCCCTGCACGAGGAGGGGATGCAAAGAGAAGGGAACAAGAGAAAGGCTGCCAGCTTTTCCGAGGGGCCAAGCCAGCTGAGTCATTCGAGGAGGAGACCGAACCAGAGCTACCATGGGGTCACTCAGAGCCATGCCGGCTCAACTCGATCAGGGCCGACCTATATTCACCGGGACCCATGTAACAAGTGTGGGAGAACTCACCTGGGAGAGTGTAAGGTACATATGGGAGGCATATGCTATCACTGCAATGAGCCGGGCCACTATGCTAGAGATTGCCCTAGGAAAGGAGGGCAAGGGAGAACTCAGTCTGAACAATCTGTCAGGGGCGGAGGAGGAAGAACCCAAACCGGACAGCAGGTTAACAACAATCCAAACCGGTCCTATCATCAGCAGGGAGGCAATGCAGGGCGGTTCAATCGCAACGAGCGAGATCGAGGGCAAGGATCTCAAGTGGCTGGGCAACCAAGACTGTTTGCCATGAGGAGGGAAGAAGCTGATACTGCACCCGACGTGGTGACTGGTATGATCTCACTTTACCATCAGCCAGCCTTTGTATTATTCAATTCTGGTTCCACACACTCTTTCATTTCGACCAAGCTTGCTAGAATCATAGGGATCCCATCTGTGAGATTGGGACAGAATTTAGGGGTAAGAACCCCAGTAGGGGATACCCTAATAGTAGACTCAGTCATTCGGGGTTGTCTTATCACTGTGGCGGGCCACAAATTTGAGGCGAACCTGATTCTGCTACCGTTCGACGAATTCGATGTTATCTTGGGCATGGATTGGCTATCCAAGAACAGAGCGAAGATGGACTGCTATAAAAAGGAGGTTAGTCTGGAGATAGAAGGAAAAGGCACCGCACTATTCAAAGGGACTAAGAAGCTAATTCCTGGATGCTTAATCTCAGCGATTAAGGCATTCTCATTGATTCAAGATGGATGTGAAGCCTATTTGGCTCATGTCAAGGAGGTGCAAGAGAAAAAGATAGAAGATGTACCTATCGTAAGGGAATACCCTGAGGTATTTCCCGAAGACCTTCCTGGACTACCGCCACAACGGGAGGTGGAATTTGATATTGAAATGATTCCTGGCACAGCACCGATATCTATTCCTCCATACCGCATGGCGCCAGTGGAGCTAAAGGAGTTGAAGGAGCAATTGCAGGAGCTATTAGACAAGGGCTTTATTCGCCCTAGTGTATCACCTTGGGGAGCACCGGTATTGTTTGTGAAAAAGAAGGATGGCAGTATGAGATTGTGCATCGACTATAGGAAGCTAAACAAGGCTACCATCAAGAACCGCTATCCTTTACCAAGGATAGATGATCTCTTCGACCAACTACAAGGAGCGAGGGTGTTTTCGAAGATTGATCTGCGATCAGGGTATCATCAGTTGAGAGTGGCAGATGGTTCAGTACCCAAGACGGCTTTCCGGACCCGGTATGGCCACTATGAATTCTTGGTCATGCCATTCGGACTAACTAATGCACCGGCAGCCTTTATGGCGCTAATGAACCGGGTTCTTCATGAATACTTGGACAAGTTTGTCATCGTCTTTATAGATGACATACTCATTTACTCGAGGAGTAAGGAGGAACACGAAGAGCACCTGAGGGTTGTTTTACATAAATTGAAGGAGGAGAAGCTATATGCCAAGTTCTCGAAGTGTGACTTTTGGTTGGAGGAAGTATTGTTCTTGGGTCATATGATTTCGGGTCGCGGAGTCGAAGTGGATCCCAAGAAGATAGAAGCTGTGATTAATTGGTCACCACCAAAGAACGTCCCTGAAGTGCGGAGTTTCTTGGGATTAGCTGGCTATTATCGGAGGTTTGTTGAGGGTTTCTCCAGTATTGCAAGACCTATGACACAACTATTGCAGAAGGGGAAGCCATTTATTTGGGATAAGAAGTGTCAAACGGCATTTGAGTTACTGAAGGAGAAGCTGACCTCTGCACCGGTGTTAGCACTACCGACCAGTGGTGGGGAGTACTCTATCTATAGTGATGCTTCCTACCAAGGTTTGGGGTGCGTTCTGATGCAGGATAAGAAGGTGATCGCCTATGCTTCGAGGCAGCTACGACCCCATGAGGTGAACTATCCCACCCATGACTTGGAGTTGGCAGCAGTGGTCTTTGCCTTGAAGCTATGGAGACACTATCTCTACGGAGAGACATTCACCATCTTCACTGATCATAAGAGCCTCCAGCACTTGACTGATCAAAAGGAGTTGAACATGAGGCAGAGGAGATGGATGGAGCTCTTAAGTGATTATGACTGCACTATCAAGTATCATCCAGGAAAGGCAAATGTAGTGGCTGATGCATTGAGCAGGAAGAAAGAGAGTCCATTACCGGAGTTAATCTCCTTGAGGGCCATGAATGTGGAGCTGGAGCTAGAGGAAGTGACGAAACTGTTAGCAACCTTAAAGGTTCGTCCTATGCTACATGAACGAATCAAGGAGAAGCAGGGTGAGGATATGGAGCTGGAGAAGTACAAGAAGCAAGTGTTAGAGGGGAAGAACACCAAATTTGAACTGGTAGATGGAGTAATAATGTATCAAGGGAGGTTGTGTGTGCCAAGTGTTGACAAGATAAGGAAGGATATTCTGGATGAGGCTCACTCTGCACCATATGCGATGCACCCCGGGGCTACGAAGATGTACCGTACCCTCAAGGAACATTTTTGGTGGCCAGGATTGAAGAAGGAGGTAGCCGCTCACGTATATCAGTGCTTGGAGTGTCAAATGATAAAGGCTGAGCATCAAGCCCCAGTTATTGAGCACTTACCACTTGAAATTCCACAGTGGACTTGGGAGAAGGTCACTATGGATTTTGTATATGGTTTACCAAAGACCCCGAGGGGAAACGATGGAGTATGGGTAATTGTGGATCGATTCTCGAAGGTGTCTCACTTTATACCTATCAGATTCAAACCAGGGCTAGAAGAGCTGGCTAGATTGTATGTGAGAGAGATAGTAAGGCTTCATGGAGTCCCACTTAGCATTGTGTCTGATCGCGACCCTAGCTTCACGGCACGATTCTGGGTGAGTCTTCAAAAGGCTATGGGCACTAAAGTGCACTTCTCTACCGCATATCATCCCCAGACTGATGGACAATCAGAGCGGACAATTCAAACACTAGAAGACCTGCTAAGGGCATGTGTTTTGACAATGGGAGGAGCTTGGGACGAGCACTTACCTCTAATGGAGTTTGCTTATAACAACCAGTATCATAGCTCGATACAAGCGGCTCCGTATGAAGTGTTGTATGGGAGAAAATGTCGAACACCACTGTACTGGGATGCAGAAGGAGTGCGACAGCTGGAGGGTCCAGAGATGGTTCAGAAGGCGGTAGAGAAGGTCGAGGCAATCCGTCGAAACTTGAAGGCGGCTCAGGACCGGCAGAAAAGTAACGCTGAGAGGCCAGGAAATCAACGAAGTCATGAAGTGGGAGATATGGTATTTCTAAGAGTATCTCCTTGGAAAAGGGTGATGCGATTTGGTAAAAAGGGGAAACTGAGTCCTAGGTACATCGGACCATATGAGGTGTTGGAACGTGTTGGACCCCTCGCATATCGACTAGCTTTACCTCCTAACCTTGCAAGAATCCACAACGTCTTCCACATCAGCATGCTGAAGGCGTACCGGTCTAACCCTGACCATGTGATCAGACATGAGGATATCCAGCTAGACGACGACCTGACCTATGAAGAGATACCAGTTCCGATCATAGACAAAAAAGAGAAGATGCTCAGGAAGAAGAAGATCACTCTGGTTAAGGTGATATGGAGGAACCAGGGCAACGAGGCTGCGACCTGGGAGACAGAAACTAGCATGCGAGAGAAGTACCCGGAATTGTTTAGCGATGCTTAGATCGATGGTCGGTTTGTCCCAATGTATTTTAGCGTTCAGCTTTCAATACGCACTATTTAATAATAGTCCCGGTGATTAAGTTCTGTTCCGCCAAGTTCAACAACACAGTTCACCCAAAATTTCGAGGTCGAAATTTATTTAAGGGGGAGGGAAATGCTACATCCCAGTCAAACTAATCCCTGTCGAATACAAATGTCTGACCTCGATATCTATCCAACAATTCTAATTTCGGGGACGAAATTTTTATAAGGGTGGAGGAAATGTAACACCCCGACATTTAAGTTCATGTTCGATCATGATAAATGAACGATTGGATAGAGGGTTACGTATAAAGGACTGCGGATTAGGAATAGTAATAACAATTATAATTATTTTTTTTTTTTGGTAGAACAATTATAATTATTACTATTATTAATAGTAAAACAAAACAAAAACAAAAAAAAGGAAAACCACCCCACCCCACGTCAACCCAACTCCCAAATAATTCCCACCTCCCATCTGTATACAATTCCATCTCTTCCACTCTTTATTACCCCCAATTAATCCCCACCCTCCCAATGGAGAGCCAATGGGAAACACCACCTCCAACTTAGCGCATCACACTATTTCATCAGCAGAAAAAGATAATGTTTGTTATGTCTCTTTCACAAAACAAGTATGAGTTGGCATAATAAAGAAGCATACAGTACTAGCAGCTGTAGAGAAGTGTCGGTGCAAGCTTAAATAAACTCCCCCTTCCATGGAATGATACCATTTATCCACCCGGCCGTACACCACCATTATCGGTTCATCCATCTCCCTATTACCACTACTGCTTCCCCAGCCCACCTTCTCGACCATCATCATCATCACCATCAACCTTCCATCCATCAAAACAACACGACCGCCAAAAACTTCTCACTGTCGCCATCTTTGTTGTCGCTGGAACAGAGCCACACCGTCAGCACTCATCCTTCATCGCCATTAACTTTGTCCATCCTTTCCTTGCCACACGAAGTTTCCCGTCGCTATCATCGTCGATCAGATAGCTACCACGATACTAGCAACAGTTTCCATCGAGAGTCTCTTCCTCTGTCTCTCGAACCATAGGTAAGAACAATGGAATCACAACCTTTATTAACCTTCAAAGCTCCGTAGGTACTAACCATGGATGTCTTTCACCGTAGCTTTGACGAGGAAGACGTGGGGTCATCCAATGTCGACCTAAACAAGGAACAAAGGACATACATCTTTGTATCAACGTCTAGGCACGAATACAAGGTAAGGAAACCACGATCCTCGCATTCGAAACTGATTACGTATGAGTTTGTACGAGTTATAGTTTTTCTGGAAAATTGGTGACGAAAATTACAACCTTTTAGTGACAGAATAGATTGGGTCGCTAAAGATTGCTGGGCTATTGTCCAGATCAGTCCCCCATGAATTCAGTACATACAGCTTAGTCCCTGAGAGTTTTAAGTTTTGATAATTTGGCCCGAAAATCGTATTTTATTTCATGGTTATGTTTATTTCCGACACTTTCCAGTGGGTATTTTCATAATATGATAATTTTATAAATTTGAGAATATTTGTATGATGCTCGTGTATCAATTTTAGAATTTTTGGATCTGTATTTGTATTTATAAAAATTAAACGAATGTTGGTTTTAATTAATTAAAATACTGTACAAAGTCGTTTTGGTGATTAGATAATTTTCCATGAAACTATGATTGTTTACTGATGTTATAAAATTATGGATGGGAATTATTAGTTTTCATGTCTTGGTTTAAAAATTGTATATAATTCATTTTAATAGGAAAAAGAGGTTATTTAAAAGGGCGCTTATGTCTATTAATTGAGATTAATGATTTGAGTTAACCAAGGTCATAATTTGGAGTCTTAAGTGGAAAATATATTTTGAGGAATTTATGAGAACTATTTTAAAAGTTATTGAATTGTTGAGATGATTTAATTCTTGATTAAAGGGTTGAAAAGTTTAGTTTTAAGGAATTGATTTAAAAGAGATTTAGGGCCATTTTTTTAAAGGATTTTGGGACTAAGTGATCAATGAGGGAAATTTTTCCAATACGTTAAAGAGACTAAATATGAGGATTACCGACTAAGGGAAGATGATTTCAGTTTATAGGATTAAAGAAGCAATCGGGTTAAGAGACTCCACGTCCAAGGAATTAAAGTATCGGCAATTGAGAGGTGAGTGTAAAGGGGGTAAAATCTACGCCTTACATATTACGTTTGAGATTTGCTGCTATGTGATATATATGCTTATGTATGTTTGCGTGATGCATGATATTACGTGTAAGTTATGTTTTCAGTCATACAGTTGATGACATGTATTTAATTACTAGTAAGTTACTTTTAAGGAGTATAACACCTTCAAGGAAGGTGTAAAGTTTTAAGAGTTTTGAGTCGCTAGCGCCAGTCCGTTGCCCATATGAGATTTTGAGATGAGCAGCAGTTATGCTCTTGAGACTTTTAAGATGAGCAGCAATTATGCTCTTGAGAATCATGGTGAAGAGCCACCATGATAAGTATAAGATGTTAGGGGAATGATCGTTATGACTCCCCTAACTAAGTTTAAGTTCAAGTAAGCCTGGATGGGCTCTCATACGTATGAGATGGGCAACCGGACTAGCTAGTGGGGGATCCCAGTGTCGGTTAAAGTTTTAAAGTTTTGAGAGTGGGGTTAAGAGTAAATCCCACGTTTTAAGAGTTAAAGTTTAAAGGGCGAAAGTATAATCAACTTCCACTAATTTATTGTTTGAGGGACACTTAAGGTAATAATCCGTAAGTGTTTCAAGTTTAAGTAATGGCGTAGACTGACCCCAACTCACTCACCAGATCGTAGAGGAGGAGATCAAGATCAGATAGTTCGTGGACAACAGGTTAGAGGGGCTCAACATCAGCGTCGTTAAAGCATGGCGGACCAAGCATCAGAGTAAGCGTTGGGGAAAACTTTTAAGTTATTTGGACTTTGTGGTTGAAAGTTAAGAACTGGAGATTCTGGTCGTTTGTTTCTTTTAAAAATATGATTTGGAGTTTTGCCCACATGTTTAGGGCTTGTCATTGAGATTTCAAATTATTAAAGTTTGGTGTATTTATTTTAAGTGTGTTTATGAATAATTTTTAAATATACCCCGGGGTAGAAATGTCTTTTACATGTCTCAAAAAGGTGGGACGTAACATGTGAGTTTTGAGCCGATCGTTTTCTTCTTGTGTGCTTAGATCCCTCTTACCATGGTGAGTAACTTCATAGTTGTCACTAGTGAGTATGATGGAGGCATAGGATTAGTCCACGCCCAAACGTTGATTGTCTCGAAATGTGTCATCCCTTAGTCAACCCCTTTGAGCCTTGTGACTTCGAGGGTTGTTCTTAAGTTAGGAGCTTCTTGCTTGTGAGCTTAATGGTGTTAATAGAACAACCCCCAATCTTTTCTTCGTGTCTAAACATGAGTCGTCCTTGTGTCCCGGAGCTCTCACTTTTGAGTTCCATAGAGGTTCTACATAAGAGGTTTGTGTGCGGTTCTTGCTAGGAATGAAAAATGAAGTGTAGTGTTGGAGTGAGTTCTTCAAAAAGAGAGCATTGATCGTTAAATGTATAGGTGGCAAGTGTTTTTACTCTATATTACCCCCCTCAAAAAGAAAAGAAAAGATAAGATAAACGAAAAAGAGGTAATAAAATGGGGTAAATAAAGTAGAGAGTGCCACAAAAAACCAAAGTACATGCTCTAGGAGGCGTTTCTTGGAACCCAAGCCATTGAAACCCCCACATTATTTTAGAACTCCTTCACTACCAAACCTTAATGTGCTAGCAAGAGTAGACCGAGGAAGAGTGCTTCAATTTAGTTCATGATGGGTGATAGTTTGGAAGGGAGTTATAAGGTTTTTGGCCGATTCTAGTGGCTTTTGGTTGAATAGAAGGGTTTTAGTCGAAACCATAGAACCTTCGAGTTTAGGTTGAAGATGTAGAACCTCGCGTCATGATTGCCACCACCCAAAAAACATTTTTCCCATGTCCAAGACAATCGCCAGTCATCTGAACCCGCGTCTAAGACATCTGGACAAGCTATTGGTGACAACCATCCCGTGAACTCTAGCATTTAGAGGTTACCGTCGTGGTATTGAGACAATAGGGCCGAGTGTTTATGATTCTGCACATCTTTTGCACCAAAAAGTCTCGACCCCACTGGTCTTGAGAGTGAGTGATTCATTCTTGTTTTGCATGCCATATCATACCCCGATGAGGACCTTTGTTCCCTTTCCATTTGTTCCTCGGACTTGAATTCCATGCATGGTTGGTTTTGGTTGATAAGTGGTCTTGTTGAGACTTGCATTGATCAATGAACAAGGTGAGAACTTTTTGCTTGCCCGTTTTTTGTGGCTTCGAATGTCGTATGTGGTGGATGTCGGTATTGCTTGCAACGATCCATGTATTGATTGCCAATAGCCATTGAGAATTCCCACTTTGTACCGTTTGATTTGTCCCCAAAGTATTTGTGAAGGTTGAAATATTACCTTGTGTGAAATGGTTTGCTTGGGGCCAAGCAAACGTCTAAGTGTGGGGGAGTGATTCGGGCCTAATTGTACATATTTTGCACCCATTTTCCATAGTCTTTTGTGGCAATTTCTCTCCTAAAAGGGTGGTTTTACGCTTGGTTTCTCGTGTTTTAGTGTGTTTCAGTAATTAATAGGTGAAACCAGCCCCGGAGTAGAAAGTTGGACGAAAAGGAGCGAAAACCGGGAGAAGTGAAAAACGGCGAGTTCACGGTTTTCCTTGGATGCTCACGTTCTTGTATGACCGTGAAGAAGAGCCGTTGGCCGTGAACATTGAGGCGTCCATGGCCAAAATGCAAGTTACTAACGCTAATTCAGTTCACGGTCGCTAAGACCGTGAACAAGTGCTGTTGGCCGTGAATCGGTGAAAGCAAAGCGATGCGTTTCGGTGCCCATCTGAAGTTCACAGACGCGTTTCAGATTTCACGACCGTGAACTCAGGCCGTGAACTGAGCTCGTTCACTGTTTAAAAGCTGAGCTAAAAGGAAGAGAGGGGGGAGCCCATTGTGTGAGAAAGCCTTCTTCAGATTTTTAGAGAGAGAAAGACGAACCAAAGGAGAAGGAGGATAGGGTTTTGCTCAAAGGTGGGATTTGGAAAGATTCTCCCCAAGAGAAGTTCAGCACAATGGTCTAGAAGATTGGAAGCCTCCCCCAAGATGGTTTCTGCCTCTTCTCCTTGTGTTTGTCCCATTTCTTGCATGGAGTAGATTTCTTTTCACTTGGGTGTTGTGAAACCCTAACTAGCTACCATGTAGTTTCTGTTATGTGAATTGAATGATTGTCATTGGGTATTGTTTAATTCAATGATTGAGCTATTATTCATGTGATTGTGTATGCTTGTGCTTAGCAATCTAAGGATTGTGCATGTTTTGTGCTTAGCATCCTTAGGTTTGTGCATGTTGGTGCTCAGCAATATAATTAGCCACTTTAACCTAGATTAGAGGGGAAAATCCCCCTTCCAAGGGAGGCTCAATCAAGTTGGTTTTCCTTTAGCTTTTCAAGCCATCTAACTAGGTTGATTTAGGAAAAACCTCAATGTTAAATTAAGCAAATTGGTTAAGCGTGATTAAGCCGTCCAACCCTTGAGTTGAGTGAGGGAGTAAGTCAACCACCGACCTCCTAAACCGAGAGGGCCGAGTGACATGGACTATAATGTATACCTCGGTTTAGCGATCGAGAATGTGGTCTACGACCATATTTTCATCCCTCTGCGGTTCGCGGTTACCTTTCCCATAGCAATCGTTACAATTCACATACCATGATAGTAGTTAGGGGGAAGCGACACCAGAGTGATCCTTCTCACAAAGAGCTTTCAAAACCATTTACCTTTGTCTTGTTTTATTTTAATTAACAAACTTTTCAACCAAAACTTGTTGCTATATAATGATTCAAATGACTGAAGTAGGGGTACACGGACCGACCCAGATTGATATTTAAACATACTTATCCTGTACTGCACTCGACTTAGGTTTATACTTTTCCATTGCTTGCACGAGGTCAGACATCTCAATGATCCTTTAGAATTGGCGAATCATATTCTTCTCCTACGAAAACATATATAAACTCGTTTAAACATGTTGTAATTTCAGAACTAGAGTTTCTTTGAGGTGTCAAAATAGCGTCGTGACCGCCAAATTTGATGAAATTTGTTCATTCGAGCCACCATTTCTCTCAAGGCAGGGATAATGGTCCTTTTTTTTTTTTTTTGTTGTCTCTTTGATGGCCTTGACTTCCTACTCCTTTGATTTGAGAATTTTTGTGGTTTCAGTAGCAGGAGGAAGGACGCCTTTACAAAGGACATATCATCAACCTTCTGGGATAAGGATTTATTCTCTCTTTTTTTTTTTTTTGACAAAAGATATATATTAATCAATAAAAGAAGATAGTTACATCCTGGAACACAGCCAGGCCTGAAAATCAAAACTACGACAAGTAGAGGTAAAGGACTCTTGTTCTTGGTTGGGAGTCATTGCAGACTCCTTATAGGAGTTGGATTTACCAACCGGCTTGTGGGCCAAACCATCAAATTGACGAATTGTCAAGTGGGAAAACATGGATGCATAAATCGAGGAAATGCCAAGAGTATGTTTGGAAGTTAAGGGGATATGCTGATCTACAAATGAGGAGATTCCTCTATGAGGACTACGGAGTCAAGAAGGTGTCAAAGTAGTGTGACAAGGAATCACTATGACTTTTGAAGTCATAAATGTCGGTATGAATTAGATTACCAAATAATGAGAATCTTTACCAAGATGAATAAAAACGACCAGGGAGGAAGTTGCTATATGTGGATGAGTTTTTTTTGGGTGAATCTGTTGGACCCGTAAATATGACATGGCCCGACTCAAATAACAACGATGGTCCAGAAGCGTGTATGGGCCGATCCTCACAAAACACCACAAAGGCCCAATAGAAGCCCAATGAAGTGTGACAAGGCTTGACCTATAAATATGCTATTAGGTCTTCAAAGTGAGGGATCTCTCCTTCTCTTCCACTCATTTTGACATATCATTTATCTCTCTACAATATCTCTCTCTATCTAGTTCTTCCTATTTTCTATTACAATACTAATGTTGATCGTCGGAGGGTAGATACCAGGGGTTGTCCTCGCCCTTTCACAGATCTGGCATCCTACCTGTTTCGTGGCAGAAACAATTGGCGCGCCAGGAAGGGGGTAAAAATCAAACAAGAAGTTTCAGTTGGGTGGGTTCGTGGTTCGACCTTCGGAAGTCGCGCTCCAAAATTCATCAAGGAAGTGAAGATTCTTTAAACTTCGAGTGGTTCATCTGGAAAAAGAATGAAAGTGTAGCTTTGGTCGGCTTCTCTGGCCAATAAAATGGTGGGAAGAACGAGAAAACCAATTTTGACGTTCTTATGAGTCAGATTCTGGGCAATGTTATATGCTTATGGTGAGTCCCAATGAAATAGGGGAAAGAGTGTTCTGACTGCCATCAAATATTTCATCTTTCTCTTCCTTTGTCCCAAAAACTCTTCCTTTGTCCCAAAAACCCAGATCTACTTTTCGTTAGGCCTTTCGTTCTTCTCTTCCTTTGTCCCAAAAACCTAGATCTACTTTCCATTATCCCTTTTTGAAAGTTAGTAAGTTGATTGTTCTTGTGGAAAGGAGGGAACCAATCCACTACTTTGCTTGTTCGATCTGAAAAGAATGAAAAAAAGGAGTGATTAAAGTAGATCTATGAATACAATTATTGGGATTGCTAGGAAAAGGGGAGCTATTAAAATCCCAGATCACACTTTCACACCGTCGCCCACTTTCTCTTTCCTAGCCTTGTACCAAAAACCCAAATCCCTTTCATTTGAAACCAGTCCAATCATTCGTCATCCTCCTCAGTGAATACATTCCCGAACAGGGTCATTTCGGTTCGGAGGAGACGGCTCATGCATCGAGTCTTATGCGATTAGTGGTAAGATCCTTGTGACGCAATGGAGGAGGAAGCGGTGTCTCCCGGCCATCACTTTCTTGGGTAGTGATCGGAGACATGGAGTTTCAGCGTTCAGGAAAGAACGCAAAGTGTGTGATTTCAGCGAAGCTG